TAGTCCTCTTAGCTATTCTCCCTACAGTTCTCTCACCTCCCAGCAGCTAGCCATCTACTATCCTAGTTTTCTCCCAATTAAGCCATCTTAGCACCTTCCTCCACCTCTCACCCTTCCCCCTCATGTCGTCATCGGGAAAACAACAAGCTTGCTGATTTCTTGTTGTTCCCTGGTTGTTTCAGCAATTCTCACCGCACCTCGTAGCTCCACTTGTCACCCAAACTACTATCTTTGCTGGCCTCATCTCCCCAACTGATACATTCATCCCATTTTGCAGTGATGTTGTAGTTCCTCCGCAGTTTTGCACCTTCTCTACCTTATCGCTACCTTTTCAGACCCCAACAACCACCACCACTGCCGTCGATTCACCCTAGTAAAGTGTTTTGTTTTGTGTGTATTGTTATTTTCTATGTCAGTTCTCTGGTTGTAAGTTTCTATTTGATTTTAGTAATAAAATTTGCTTTCCTATTGTTATTTGAGTTAGCTTTGGCATCATTTGGTAGTTGAACCTGCAGGGGTATCTCTCATGGACTCGGCTTGAATTGCATGTATTTCTGCATCATCAGTTAGTAGCTGACCTTATCACGTTCTTCAGTGTCTACTGTGTCATTTTCCATTTCTTTAATTACCCCCTGCACAGTAAAATAGCTCATACTCTTATTTGACAATTTGATGTATTGTGCTAAAAATCGTGATACTTGTGCACTTTCTAGCAGAGATGGATTCAATGTTGGTTTGTTTTATCTGTTCTCCATTCTAACTAGTTTCTTCTCAGGCAGGGTCAGTTTGGATGTTCCGCTGGGTGTAATTTGACAGCATGATCATGGGGTTGAACTTTGTTTGTAAGATGGGGTGGCCTCCAAATGAAATTATAACTAGTAAAATCTCACGTACATTTCCTAACTGTAATGTGAGGCTAGGTAATTGCGTTGTCTCTCTCTTTTCATCTTGGACCAGGTAGTAATTTTTTCTTTACCTTCGTTTGCGTAGGTTATTCAAATTTTTCCATCGCAACAACACATTCTTCTTTAGCTTGGTGGCGACTACCTTTATCATTCTATTTGGTGGGACATTTGGAAACTAGAATACACATTCCATTGCTTAGAGCCACTCGTACTCGTCCGAATTCATGTGACCGTCAAAATATAGCAATTCACTCTACACTCATTCCAAAATTTTGGCTTCTTTGATATCAAATTTGGAAGTGTCATGGTTAATTCTCTGTTTCATTGAAATCATCCCTACGAAAGCGATTTAGATGTTCTTCTGACTCTCTTTTTCCGATCTCGCTACCACAATCGATGGCATCTTACAAACAAAGTTCAACCCCAAGATCATGCTGTCAAATTACACCAAGCGGAACATCCAAACTGACCCCGTCTGAAAAGAAACTAGTTTAGAATGGAGAGCAGATAAAGCCAACCAACATTCTCGAATCCATCTCTGTCAAAAAGTGCATCAAGTATCACGATTGTTGGCATAGTGCATTAAATTTTCAAACAAGAGTATGGACTATTTTACTGTGCAGGGGGTAATTAAAGAAATGGAGAACGACACAGTAGACACTAAAGAATGGGATAATGTCAGCTATTAATTGATGATGAAGAAATGCATGCAATTCAAGCTGAGTCCATGAGAGATACCCCTGCAGGTTTAACAGTAGTTCTTCTAGAAATAAGTACGAGATAATGTCTTCATGCAAAATATGAGGTTGTAATGTCATAAACTACCTTTTTACAAGCATTGAGAGGAGCATCATCAGAACTAGCATTTGATGTTCAAAAGAGTCACGAGTTTGAAGAGCCGATAACAAACACAGAGCAACCCCAAATAAGAGAATTTTATAATTTTCAGATATATAGCATATCTAGAGTTGCCCCTACTGAGGGTGATTCAACATTTATAGATGAGAAGCTTTTGAGCTTGCTTCTGGAAGAGCATAAAGAGTCATTTGGGTTCAAAATTCACTTCAGCGATGCACCCACCGACAGATGGTCCGCCCGAAGGAAGGAATCATAGCGTTGGACATCACCTTATGATCTTTGGCATAAAGAGTCATTTGGGTACAAAATTCACTTCAGCGATGCACCCACCAACAGATGGTCCGCCCGAAGGGAGGAATCATAGCGTTGGACATCACCTTATGATCTTTGTGGGAAAGAACAGTCTTACTAACTCTCCTATTCTAATTAGTAGTTGTAAGATGCTTATTCTTTTGTTTGGTGCAAACCACTCCTCACTTCTTGAGGACAATTAAACCAATTGTTAATGCTATAAGAATCAATCTCCAATTCATAATGAAAGAGAAGGAATTTTTTCACCTTTAATCAACCTTGGATTAATGATTCCATGTGGGTGTTAACAAGGATTGCTACTTTCATAGTTTTGAAATTGCCTTTGAATGCTCCACAATTCACCATAATTTATAAAGGTTGCTAGTCTTTTACTTCCTCTTTTAAATTTCCTAGGTTATTTTGATGTACTAAGAGAATTTATATATGTTGTTATCCTTATCTAGTTACATGGAATGGAAAGGATAGCCTTTCTCTTCGAGATGACTAAACGGTTATTTTCTCTTATTACCCTAATTTTAAAGTGGTTTAAATACATGTGATTCAAGAAGCACTTGATTAGATATGTTTTGCTGCCCTTTAAAGGCTTGTCCTAAGTGGTATAAAATTGCCTCAAATTTGGATTGAAGGGAGAATTATTTCTCTATGATGCATGCGTTGCTTGATTGGAGAGAATTGTAATAATCAATTGTTTTTCAGCTGCCCTTACTCTTTTTAGCTTAATAAAATATTCTTTCAAGAAGGATTTTTTTTTTTTTTACCCTGCTCCATAATAAAGTTGTATCCCATAGCAAATTATGTCATTAAAACAATTTAATTCAAAAGTTTTACATGAACATTATCGGGGACCCTTGTATTTTTTTATTTGGGAAGAAAGAGAAGATAGGATTCATAGGTCTATAGTTATTGGCAAGGATTCCTTAAAGATTCAGATAAAATGGTTGACGAGGCATAACATATATGCATGGAAAATTTCCAAATTGTGAGATCATGATATGGAAATCTTCCTTTAGAGTGTATATGACAAATTGAGGTTTATATCAGATAAAGCAGTAATGCCATACCAATTATGGCTGATCTCCTTTTAGCCTACTTCTGCTTTAGCAAAACTTTTGTGCCCTCATGTAGCCTTTTACTGCTTCTCTCAGCATTATACAATGGTTATTTAGTTGATGCTTGGCACTTATATTAAGAGGGAGTGATGTACGTTTTTGTTGGGAACTCCAACTGTTTGGAGATTCTACCCTCGGGCTCCGAAACAAAATGTCTTTTTAATGCTAGTGAAGATTTTGTGCATGTTCACATGGGTTCGATTCCCGTAAATCAAGAATACTTTTGTTGTGGAATAATGGAAAATAAGACATTCTTATCAAAGCTTACTCTATAGCTTCTTTATCTAAGCTTTTATTGTTGTGTTTTACTTTTTCAAGGTCTATTGTTATAATGTATGTATGTTTTGTAGCTCTTAGATTTGGTCAGTTATATAATTGATCTTAAACTTAAATTGAAGTGGGTTGTGCTCTCAACATTCACAAAAAAATAAAATAAAAACAAAAACATTAGACTTACCATCAAATCATCAAAAGAGATTCACTTGAGACCAAAAAAAAAAATACTTCTCATTTCATGTTCTATATAATCATGTTAGTGTATATATAATCTTGACATCACAGCTTAAATAGGTCTGATCTATTTTCCACTTTAAAATTAGTCTTTTTTATGTGTTAACATAGTTTGCTATTTTACTATTGATAATCAAATTCATGTTGCAATATTAATTGGATGTCGTTGATCAATAATGTTGCATAATTTACTCTTATGCCATCACTAATTGTATCCTTTACATTGTCAATGTTTGATGAAATGTTTATTCAAGTAAAAATTTGCAAGTAGTTTTTTTTTTAGTTGAATCAATTTTTTAATAATTAGAAGTTCTCATTATAGATAATACAAAGGATGGAGGTGCATAAGAAACATAGAAAATAAATGAGAAGTAGAACTTTTGAGATCTTTGCCAAAAGGGAGCACTAGCTACTAAATCATCTAAAAACTCTTTCAATACAAAAGGGATGTAAATTTTAATTCAAATTTTTGAAAAGAAGAGACGAAGATGATATGATAAGATGCAATGAACAAACATAGCCAACATAAAAAGAATAAAAAAATTATGGATGCAATTTGAGAAGAGTCTACTAATTTAGAGTGGGATCCGAAAAGGATAACAATTAGAAGTAAGCCTAAGTAAACCTAACGAGTTGAATAACTACTAAATAATATTTAATGTTTAGATAGTACAGTCAACGAAAAACTTAAAATATGATAGCAAAGATCCAAAGTTAAAATAAAAAAATAGATCTAATGTATTTCCAGATAATTGCTGAAAATGGGACAATTTTAGTGCCAGAATTAAAAAATCAAAGAACTAAAATGATCCTTTTAAAAAAAAAGTATATCAAAAAGATACATATTAGGTTCAATGGAAGGGACGAAGGGTGGAAAGTCTACATTTTCAACTCTTTTGAGTCGGGATTTATAACTTCGTCCACAAGAACTCACAACAACAATATTTTCTAACAACCAACTTCATAGACAACAATAGCCATGACCCTCTATCAATTATTTTCCTTTATTTTGTTCTTCAAACCACAATAAGCAAGTAGTCAAAATTCATTCTCACCTATAATCACTATAAATAACAGTATATTACAACAAGAAAAACAAAAAAATGCAGACGTTGTGATAATTTGAATCCAACATACTAGATCTTATCATAAAAAACTCAACAACTACTATAACATTTATGATACTAAAGCTTAAAACTAATATCAAAGAATGATGCATGAATTTGGAAATAGATTTAAAATTGCAATCACCAAAGATTCTATAAGTTCACAACTACCAAGAAGATTTTACGTGTCTGAAACTAACCATATCTTTGACGCCCATTTCCTTGCGACGAATTTCAAGTTGCTCAGGAGTTTCTGTTTGTTCTATAACAAGAACCCGGTATCCCTTCAAACCAGGAAAATGCAAATGAAGATCTTAATATAATGAAAAAACATAGAAATAAAAATTCAAAAATAATAAATAAATCTAATTCAAGCATAGAGAAGTACCTTCATGGCCAACTTTTCCAAATTCATAGAATAATTCTTTTCAGGAAACCCGCAATGAGGTTGCTCCCCCTAAAAATGATATTAGAAACAAGAAGGGAAAAATTAAGTGCTGAGTGCAAAGCAATTAAGATCTAGCAAGTGATATATGCAAACAAGCCTCTGAAACAGAGAAAATTTTCAAGTACCACACCTATATATATATTAGATCTTTCTTATCATTTTTTTTGGCATCAATTTGTGTGCTAGCCAAAACCACAAACAAGTTCAAAGAAATTACAACTTAGTCAAATCCCATGAAATATTCCAAGAATTTTCATTATAAAAAGCAATTCTATAACCTCCTCCCTTTCCTTGAAGTCGCATATGTAGGCCACCATCTAACACAAACTAAAAGATAAAAAGAGAAAAAGTGCCTTAAAATAATACTCAGAAGAATATTTTCTCAACTAATGAGATACAGAACCATCCTTATCAAATCAAAATACAAGAAAAAAGCATCTATCCAGGAGTTGCACAACATCATTGTTTTATCAAGGTATGGCAATGGTTTCAATTTTTTTCAAAGGGGAGAATGCCCAAGCTTGACAATGACAGTTTTTCTTTTGAGTCTCTCGCAACACAACCGTTTGTAAGAACAAAAATCAAGCCGAGACCCACCCTTGTTCAGAACAGAAATTATAAAGCTTTTGAGAAAAGCAGTGGCCTTTCTTCCTTTGTGTGTATGAAAATCTGTGTTCGTTTAGCTACAGCAAATGAGGAACTTTTATTTCACATTTACGAAACCATCAATATCTATGCACACTCGCTGCTTAGTTCTCCAAATTTCTCTTTTCCCAATATGACGACAGTCGAATCAAAATTAAAATTTTGTTGAGAAAATTAGGGCGAAGAAAAATAATAATCGACACAAATCCAGAAGAACACAGAGATTTAACGAGGTTCGGCAAAGATGCCTACGTCCTCGGGAGCAG